ACGGGTCTGTATATTACTTGAAACCATAAGAAGTATACGTGATTATTAAAAAATTAAAAATAGATAAAATTAGCATTTTATGGAGGATACAATTTTTTGGGGATTTCAAAATAATGTACTAAAACATTAAAAGTAACAAGTTCAAATCTGTAGCAAATATAAATATTGTAATCATTTCTTATAAATATGATTTCCTAATGTAATTTTCCAAGATATTAAAGATCATAATGCAAAAAAAACTAAATTTATTAAAAGTAATAGGCTTTATGTTTCTTAAACTACCTACATTTGTCAAAGTACTTATGAATTTTCGAAGATATTCGTCTGCTAGTTTTATTGTTGGAATGAAATATAGCAAGATTTGCATTGCCTACTAAGAAAGTTAGTAGCCAGTAGTCATCGGATTAAGAGTATATGTAACTAAAGGAAACATTTCCCTATAGAAAGATACATGTTACCCCATTGACTAAACACAAATTATCTCTCTCAGCTATTTACACACATACACTCACAATTTAGGGCAAATGAAGCAAATGACTCTACTTAAAGCACAAAAATTTAAAAAAGGAGCTGTAAAGTAAGTATGTCATGAAAAAAGCACTTGAGAAATACTATTTCATCCTCTTTACATAAAAGGTACTCTAAATAACCTTGAGTTTGGGAACTTTAATGATTCAAGAGAAATGAAATGGGTAATCAACTGTAGTAAGACAGATTAAATGTGGTATTAAAGTACACAGGATTCATTAAATAAAAAAGAGATTAATTTAAATATCTAGTTGGTGTTATGGTAAACTTAGCTATAAATAAAAGACTCAAATGAACAATTTTATGACAATTTTACATGTTTTTCTTGATTGGTTCAAGTAGAATGTTCAAAATGAGAATCCTTCCTTTCTTTTTAGTGCAAAGCTACACAACTGGCTATATGCACTGTGTCTACTGGATTTTACAAAGTGAGAATCATCTTTAACCTTTTCGAGACAGGTCACGGGTGAAAGGCTATGTCGTCTCATTTGTTCACTCGCATTCAAAATTTTATTTAACTACTATTTCATGCATTTATGTCAATAAGTTTGGTATCATACTGTAGATTATAATTCAAATTTTAGTACTATATATTACTCAATTTCTTACAGATAAACAAATTTTTGTGTGTCACGTGGTATGTTGAATGCAGCACTGGTTCAAATTGGATGTTTGTGAAGTCAAAATACTAAGTCTATAGTTTCAAACGAATTAGAACCTCAAATTACCAATATTGACAAGCTAGAATATAAAATAAGAGCCTCTTTTCAATTTGCTAAGGTATTGCTCATGTAATAAATCAAACACTGTGGCACCCTGCCCACCTCTTTCCATTTTTGGAAATGCTCCCTTGTATACACTTACTCCTATATATGACATGAATAACCAACTGGAAGCTCAAAATGTCCCCCTAGTGGCTTTCTCAGCCATTTTAACAAACTTGGCATCATTTCTTTCTTTTAAACTAATATTTCAATGAGGTAGGGTGTGTCTTTAGTCTGCTCGAAATTTCATATTTTTTTAACTAAAATACATCTTAGTTGCTAAGCTTGTTAAATTATAGTGGAATTCTACATTATTAATGTAGTAATTTATGATTTTTTAGTTATTCAAAAGTATATATATAACACTTAAAAAAAAAATTATATTTTGTTTCATATTCTCCACAACAATTTTTTTTAAAGGCTTAGCAACCTACATCAAGCAGCAACAGAGTACAAAGGTTGTAACTAGAAGAGATAATTATTTACTTTATTTCTTTAGTTACTATTCTATGTTTTAAGGAAAATAAGTTTAAGAACTTATTTCAAAATAGCAATAATCTATATACATATATAACGTATACTAATTGAAATTTGACTGTATTTTACAAAATACTAGTCTACTAAAACAAAGCCAAGACAAGTTACTTTTGTGCAGACCAAATGTCAGTATTATATTATTGGATAAGGTAACATGAGTGCACATGCACCACGTCATTGTAATTTCTGTTTTGTTAGCCAGGCACAGGTGAAAGGTCAATATAATACACATAATAAATATATATTAAATGTATAATGTTATGAGATTTAATCTATTTAGTCTAAACATTTATGTTTTTGTGTTATAATTTGTGTTCATTCTAGAATGAAAGATGCATAATTTATGTTTATTTCCTAATTTTTTATGGTGGTTGTGAGATCAGTCAAATCTACCAAACCCATACAAAGATTAATTACTGAAAATAACAGACACAATATAGTGTTTTCTTAAGAAATGTTTGATAACTATCTCGACATTATAAAGATTTCGCATGTGAAATTTCAAAATTTCTGATGCATAAAAGTATTTTTAATATTAAAATTAATGAATAGGCAACATGAGAAATGAAAAAAAAGGCATGAGAAAACATTGCTTTACAAACCTTAAGACTAAGTAAAAAAAAAAATTGATATTTTGCGCATGAAAGCATTGTAATGCTTACAGATAATCTGCCAAATTTTGTTAATATATGCTTAATAATTTGAAAATTATAGCATGAAAACTATAAAAAGCACAAAATGGTGACAAGGTCAGAGACCGAGCTCATGCTGAGAGAGTTAATGTAATTGCTGAGAATCTGGTTCATTCAGAAGATTTTTTTTAGAAGCTGATAAAGCTAAAAAGGAATATAATTTTCTAATTGATATACATATTAATTAATAGATCTACAACAGCACCAGGCAGCTTCCAGTCATTAAACAAAAATAAAATGGTAAGTATTAGTATCCTTAAAAATACACAAGATAGAGTACAAAAAGCAATGGACACAAAACTAATAAAAAACATTAATGTAATTAAATGGTAGAACAAACTATAAACAGAAGGCCACAAATACAATGCAGTTGATATGAAGTTAAGACAAGTAAAAAAAACAAAAAACATTTCATTCACCACCTTCCATTAGCAGAATTTTGTTTCTTATTAAAGTGATTTTTTAAAATTCAAGAATAAAACTTGAATTCAAAAGTTTGATGTTGCTGTAAAGGAAAAGCTTTCAGAAAAGAAAACAAAATCCTACATTTCAAGGTCTGTAAGTAAAAATACTTATCACACTATTCACAAGTTCATAGATGAGGCAGCTAAGCATAGCTATGGTTATTTTTAGCTAAAAAAAATAATGGAACTATATCTGAACCAGTGCAGGTATGAACTAAGACTACACTCTTACTTGTGGTTTATTTACGACTTGGAGCAATGACACACAAATATATTGCAAAACTAATGTTGTTTCTATTTTACTTTAATAGTTAGGCTGGGCACAGCACAAGCTAGATTGGGCAGAAGAGGATCAATTGACTAAATCTAATCAGACCTTCATGCAAGAAATATGAAAGTAATGAAAGAAACTTGAAATAAACTTGTATAAAAGAAATAAATTATACGTTTTTTTATAAAAACATCCTCAAGCATAACAACAAACTAAAAACGTTCTCACCTTTTGATAGAAACTAATGTTTTTGAAGAACTCTGCAGTGCTTTCTGCCATTCATGTTCAGAACCTTTGATTGAGTATTGTGAAAAATTCACATGCTTCAACTTTCTTTTTTCTTGTTCTTGTTTTGCACAAATTTCTTTTGCTGCTTCTTCCTAAATAATGATGTCCAAGTTACTAAATCTCCAAAAATCAACTACACTGAAGAAAGAATTACAATGCAAGTTTTCAGTTCATTATGGATCTATGAAAATATTTTACTTGTCTAGGTATATTTAGAGTTATAATTAAGCTTAACAAAATAATTTATAATCTTTGTAGGACACCATTTTAAATCCTTAGAATAACCAATGAATAAGAACTGACTTCATCATACACACAGACAAAATAAAGAAAAACTGAAAGAAAAAGAAGGAAAAAACATCTTAAACATATGAAAAGCAATACAATGGCTGTTAGTTTTATATTATTATTTCTGTAATTTTCAAACACTACCTAATATCATTTTTATAAGTCACATTAAGAATGGCTGCATATCTGCAAAAACTGTAACTTATAAAACTAGGTTTTATCTCCGTTAACCCCCCCCCCCCAACTCCACCAATAAAAGTAAACATTCATTAGAAAATGTTTTATTGTGCTAAACTTGTTTACTGAAATCAATTAGGACAAAACAATATCCCTACATATTTTATTTGTTTGTTTGCTTTGTTGGATTTCACATAAATCTACATGAAGGTTATCCCTACTTAAAGTCTCTAATTTTGATGGAAAAGAAGTTAGTCAACAACACTCACTACCAACTACTGGACTACTCTTGTCAGATCAAAATGTGAGATTTAACCATCAGCCTTAAAAAGTGCTCACTACCCTGAAATAATCCATTTTTTTAGGGTGGATAGTGAAGCATGAACCTTAGAACTTCATTGCCATGTTAATCATCGAGCTGTACTCAGCCCCCTATATTTTCTACAGCAGTGATTTATTATAATCAAAGCTAAAAAAATGTTTAAAAGACATGAAACTTGTACTAATATTGGATTTTTTTTTACATATCAAGTGTGTTGCAATATACCAATGATAGATAATGTAGATTTGTGAAGCTTTTATGATTCAATGATATGTACTTCTGAATACCACAATATCCAAATATACATTTCTGTGATTGAACAATTGAAGATTGAGTTGGAATTCTGTGACAAACTGTTAAAGATCTAGCACTGATACAAAGGATGTTAAATGTATAGAAATATAGGTCTTTCATCATAAAATATATTTTGCATTCACAAATACTCAGGTAAAAACAATTGTACTTTAAAAATATGTAGATACACAAACTACACCAATCATTTGAGAAAAAAGTGTTTTGAAAAAGATTTCTTTTGTTGTTTACAAGTGGTATTAAAATAAAGGCAACAATTTTTCAATATAGAAAAATGAAATACATATTTTCAGTTTCCACTACACATTTTAAACTTTTTTAACACAGGATCTCTCCTTCAAAAAGAGGCAAATTAGCATTTATAAGGTGGCACGCTAAGGAACAAAAAAAATTTGGTAATTGTGTTTCAGAGGTTTTATCAAAACCATTGGAAAGTCCAGAATCTGCTGTATCCAAATGTGCAATCCATATAATGGTAACGTATTTCAGTTGTGAGTTAGGAGCAATCGGAGTGGTAGCACCACCTTACCAGCAGCAGTCAAACACACAAACTGATTATCTCTTTTTCACTGAATTCTTAAATTAAATTATGCAACCTTTCTTTATTGTCTGTTTGAGGCCAGACCTTGTTCTTGATCTTCTAATCTGGGAAAGCTAGTTACTTTGCACATGCAGATAATGGAGGGAATAATGTTATTTGGTTATTTAATTACATTTGTGTTGTCCAGTTTTTTTAAGATTTAAGAACATGTATATTTTGTACCTAATTTGTAAGACATGACTTCAATAGCTGCAGAAACTGGCTGTGGATCTTTGAATATGTGGGTTCACGATTCATGTCCTGTTGCCACAAAAATATGCTCTGCACTGTGGGTGTACTATAAGTGATGGTCAAATTCTACTATTCAGCTAGACAAGAGTTGGCAATGGGTGCTGTTGATTAGCTGTCTTCCTTATAGTCTATCACTTCAAAGTTAAGGACAGCTATGCTCAGATAGCTCTCACATACCCTTAAGTGAAATATCTGAAACAAATGTAACTTGATTACATATTGATAAAAGTTGCAAAAACCACCCAGATGTTTGAATAACTCTTTGTACAAAAATAATGCAGTAGCATTTTGTATTCTAGTAAACAATAATGTATAACTTCAAAGACCATATGTATTTTAATGTTATGATTTAAATTCAAGTTAAGAAAAGCCTTATTTAAGAGCAAACATATTTATACTGTTACACATCTATGTTTCTCTGACTATTAAAATAATTAAAAACTACTTGTCTTAAAATAACTTGCAACTAGACAAGTGTTTTTTGGGATTAATCATTTTAAAAGACAGCTGGTGTTCCAAGTTTCTGTGCTTTAATGCTAACTTACAGCCTTATGAAAAACACTACTTGTTATAGTATTCTTAACTAAATTCATCACATTTCATATGAAAGTGCTATACTCCTATTAGTAATTAAAGAAACAGACATCCAAATTACACCAAAGTAAACAATATCAAAGATGGCTAATTATTTGAATAACCTACAGAAACATTTGGTTTGAAATTAACCCCGATTCACTTAATAGAACACCGAGTCACAAAACATAATTATCTTTAATTATGACACCCAGAAATATTAATCTCAATATCACAAATCTAAATTTGAAACCTAAAAGTTATGTAATAAGGTTTCTCTTATTTACTTCATAAAGAAATTAAAAAAAAAGTACATAAACACCTTGTTTACTGACTTGAAATTTAATTTCTAAGCTCCAGTGGATTATTTTTGCTATTCAACTTTTAGGATACATGATTGTTACATAGGTTTGTAGTTCAACTACACAACCAATCACTTCTTCAATAGTTTTATTTTTTCCAGCTGCCCCACTGATAAGCACCAACATGGGCACAAGTAGCAGTATCACAGTGACTATGTAAAAAATCATATCATGTGCTGAGTTTATCAATATACTTCTCTTCCTTTGGACTTATTTGGGCTAAAAACAATTACAGAAAATAATATTTTATTTTGTTTTTTGAAAAATCAACTCACTCAAATTATGTAAAAAAAAAGCACTTAATGATACTAACTAACTCGGATTCCAGCACGTATGATAAACTTGTAATGCAAATTTTCACAACCATTGTTTAGTACTATCTGTACCTTTCAATATTCTAAATTCTTCTCATTCTGTGACAATGATAAAAAATATACAATTAAGAATGAAAAGGCTTTACCAGTTCTTGATCGATGGATTGAGTAACAGGATTTAAAACAATATCTTTGGAAGACAATAAAGTCTCTTCCACTGACTTTTCCATTATGCTGCTCAAGAACTGGCTTATTCTTCTTACAGCTCGGTTAAATAAACCTAAAATCTGTGTTGTTGGAAGATCAAGTTCTTGGGCTATGGTATCAACACTCTTATACTGCAAACCTAAAGCTAGCAGAATTGCCTAGAAAATAAAAAAAAATAAAAAATAGATCCAGAAAATGTTCAAGAAGATAAACATTTTTTATTGTTATTAAAACTGAAACAGGACTTTAAAATAATGCTCTGAATTTTTATGAGCACCCTTAAGTATCAAACATCTAAATCCAATACCGATTATCTTTATAATAAAATTAGTAAAATTATAAATATCACTAACATATCCAAGACACATTATAAACTATTATTCCACTTCAACAATTCAAAAGAGTAGTTAAATATATGGAATATTTCAAGACAATTAGAAAGGTTACCACAAGACTGACACAAAAACGCAGTCAACATAAACAAACAACTAATGAAACAAGAAAGTCAGGAAGGGGCTGACACACTTGTCGCAAGAAAAATTGGCCAAGTAATCAACATAGTCAATGGAAAAATTCCATGGAGAAACTAGAAAAATCAGCCACAACAACATAAAAATGTGCTGATGGATAAATTAATCATCAAAAATACTTAAAATAGATTGATATAATAATTACTATAGTATAATTAATATAATCAAATATGCTAATAAGAATTGCAAATCAAATATACTGTAGAGAAAAAGAAGTCACACATTGCAAAAACTACACATAATCCACCCCAGTAGTCACACACAGTAATAATACCTGACATATATGTACAAAAGGAAAGTTAATTTCTAAGAGGTAAAAAAAGAGGTGTATAGTAATCACACACAAAGAAGACAGAAAAGAGACTGATACAGAAGTCCATAACAGACAGTAAGAAAACAACAACTCTTTAAAGAAGTTTTGAAAAACAAAACAATTTGAAAGAATCTTCATAAAATCATGTATAAAATAGTACACAAAAGCAACAAACCGACTGTGCTGGTGAGAGGTGAACGTCCCCTAGTTTCTCTAAGAAATACAGCTTAGAAACAATTGGCAACAAATCCATGATCAAGTGATAATCCACTAGATTCTGTGAATAGAGCTCCAGACGCTTCAGATCATAAACATTCATGAATGTCTCCAATTCTTGTCTGGTCAACACTAAAACAGAAATACAATAATTAAAAAAAAGAGAGTAAAACTGTTGTATATTAAAGAAATAAAAATAAATATGATGAGTAGAACAACTGGAAAATGTACATGGAATAGAAAAGTGATTGGTATTGAAATAGATTATGCATTGTAGCTTTGAACCACATGCAAGAAATCGAGTTACAATCAATTATATTTATCGTAAGCCAATAGTATTAAGCTTATTGGATTTTTGAACACTGCATTCTTTATTCTGTTCCTTTAATAGGGTTTTTAACAAAGAAAAGTGTGCATAATTGTATTTCAATCACACTATGTACTCTGCATCTATTGTCAACAGAACTCATCATACAAATACAACAAACACAGTAATGATCTGAATACTACGTATGTAAGCCAGTTATTACAGCAACAACCATTATAGTGTGAACCCTTTTCTAACTTGGTGAAGAATGATTATAATTAATTATATTTGAAAACAACATCACAGTTACAAAAGAATGTATACTCAAATAAAACTTGGAACAAAAATCTATAAAACAAATCTTATTAAGGTATTCTGTCCTTCAAACACAATTTAAAAATTTGAAATAAGACTGTTTTTATCATGTGCTAGAAATGTCTTGATGGAACTACTTAGTTAGCAATTTCAACATGGAATGATTATGTCAGGTTTGTTTGCTTTAAAACACAAAGATACACAATGGACTATTTGTTCTCTGCCCATCATGTGTATCAAAAACTAAATTCTATTGAGCTACCAGAGATGAGGTTTTTTTTAGAATTCCATTCTTGAAATTAAAAAATAGTACAAACTTCCTAATAAAAGGTAATTTAAGAAGTAGGACATATTAATCTTACTATTAAAAATTTTATTGAATTCAACCTTAAAAACACGTATTTGCATAACTGTACAAGATCTTTAATTTCTTTACCTGTTTGGCTTTGTTTATTCTGGAATTTATTCTGTAAAATGCTGAGTGCAAAGGAAGAGAAAAATTTGCTGAACTGGTACCCGAGCAATGACAAGAAACGTCGTCGGAAGTCAAACCAATAAGAATGTAACCAGTTGGAGTTATCAAGAGTATTTTCTGACTCATCTCCCAACATCTTCAACATAATGCATGAATGTTCACCAGTCAAGTCATTCTGGAAGAAAATTAAGTTTGATGAGAAAAAAGTAAATGACATTTGATGAACCCTTTTTTTTAAAATAAAAAACTGTTGAATGATGCAAGAGAAAAATTTCATTATGGATATTCTCATGTGAATTGAAAATGGTGCTCCTATCAGTCCTCACACTAAATATTTTGTTGTTTAATCATTAATCTAGTCACTTTTGCTGGATTTTATATAAATATAATATAATTATATAATTTATATTATATAATTTTATATAAATATAATGTAGCGCTTATGTCAATCAAAACACTTTTTTCATTACTTACGCACATGCTGTTTTTTTTTCTAAGTGATACTTCAAAAGCATGATATAAGCATGTAGGAAATTATTCTGATTACTTTAACTCTCAATGGACAGGTCAAAGGGTGCATATCACAATGTTTGAGTTATTTGTAAAATTTAATTAAAGAACTTTATTATCATTCATTGTATGTTAATAAAATTGGCATCACAATGTAGTTTATAATTCAAACTTTTATTTTATACATATGTTTCAATTTTTTAAGTTGAAAGAAAATATTTAAAAAATTAAATATGTCATGTCTTCTTGTACAGTTTATATTTTATTACACCAACCACACAATGTCTATAGTGGTTAACAAATTAGAAACTCAAACTTCAGACATTTACAAACTAGAATACAAAATAAGAAGCTACCACCTTCTTGATTTATGAGATATCAATACAAGGATAGCCCCACCCACTACTCCATTCTTTTGAAACCTCTTGTCCACTCATGCCTACTTCTCTTAATTACATGTTTATAATCAATAGAAACAACACATTCAAAACTATGTACATTTCAGTCATTTGTAAATGGCTTGAAGGGAAAAATTTGTATATGACTGGAAATTTTGAAGTCTGTTGAGTAAGTCACAGCTCTGAACAGAAATTCGATTTTTATAACCCACATATAGCTTAGTTAGAAAACCAGAAAACTACAATGGTTTTATGTGTACCAGTACAGTAGTTTGATAATTTTTTGGTTTTCTAAAATGCACCTTTGAAATCTACAAAATTAGTCTTCCCCTCCACTTGAGAGAATAAATGAGGCTTAGCAAGTACAACACACAAGTACAAACAAATTTTGTAAACTCATAAGTACTAGAAATCATTGTTTTGCTATATATTTTTATTTATTGTTATGTTTTAAGAAAAAACTAAATATTAAGCATTTATGAGTAAATAGTAATACACACACACACACACACACACACACACTATATATATATATATATATATATTCATAAGCACTTACACGCTTTGTACAACTATCCCACTAAATTCTGACCACCCTGGGAAGATATCTAACATTCAACTACCTACCAAGTTTACTGGATCAGCCCCGACTTTGTACAGAGCCATATCATAAACATTTTCTTGCACTTTTATTAACTTTGACAATTCTCATTGCAACCACTGTACTATAAACAAGATGATGAATCTTCTCCCAGTGTGTTCTGGGAGCTAGGATTATTATAAACTCTGTGGGAAAGTTCTGGTAATTGCACTGCATGCACCTGTTTGCTATCAACAATGTCATATAAACAGTTTAATGGCAGGAGCAATGATTCACTCTTTATGATTGGCAGGTTTTTACTTCATCTGATAACAATAAAATAAACATAGGAAATAGATATGGAAAGGTTTGAAGTAGAAACTCTCAGAGGAAGTAATATGAAACTTTGTGGTCAATAATAAAGTGGATAGAACATATTACTCACTTTATTTTGGATTTTTCAACCTTTAAAAGTTTTATGGTGGTTACAAGTGTGGTCTAAATTGAATGACTTCAAAAGAGTTAAGGTAGAGAAAATAACAGACAAAATATAGATATTTTCTGAAAAACGAAACAAAAAACGTTTGATATTTATTTAGGAGGTTTTAGAAACTATGCAAATGAAATTTGAAAATTTTCAGATGAAGAAAAGTATTTTTAATCTTAATACGAAAATGACTTTGCAATTAGAGCACCCAACACTCTGACTCCATATATTCAAAGACAAATTTTTAGTAATAATACTTAACTAAAAATTCTAATTCGTTGTCTACAAAAAAACTTGAAAAATCTAGTAAAATCTTGCAAAATTATGTGAAGATAATCATGTTAAAACTTATAGTATGGAAATTCCAATGGTTACATGGTCAATGTAATCCACCAAGTCAATTGGAAAAATGTGTATCTTCCTTCTCATAGTAGTTATTTTTTTTAATGTTTTCAGTATTTCAAGGCAAAATAAACATAATTATTTGGGTATAGAAAGTAATCATATGACAGGTAACAAAATCTATGATGTTAAACTTGCCTATAGTTGTAAAAAGTTATATTACAGCATTTCTATATCATAAACAGACAAATAGAAAGAAAATTACAAATCTGATAAAATTAAAACCATCTACAGAATTCTTAATCTTAATGCTCTTTATCTGAATTACTGACTTCTATATGTGTATGTACTACTACTATTAATATATGGATGTGTAATTAAAGAGGAGACTGTTTGTTATCACTGTCCTAGTAGTGTGTAGCATGGCCTTTGGCCGGAGCAACTGTTGTTATTTCCATTGCTGTTGTAAACGTTCAGCAATTAATGATGGTTGGAATGCTGTGGTTTTATCCTTTTGAACCACTTTCTTAAAATGGTCTCAAAAATGTTCTATCAGAGTAAGGTCTATCGGTCATACCAAGATATTGATATTCTTACCTGAAAACAGACAGCTCTGTACTGTTAGAACCCAAAAGACTAACAAGAACTATGGAATATGTAAATTTAAAATAATTTAATATATATATCCATGGACATTTACAGGAGTACACACTTAACAAGTAATTCCTACACCCAATAAACAGACTGCAACCCACATCATAAGACTGTTGATTCATGACAATCATGATCAAATTGTTCACCTGCTTGCTTATCTGTTGACCCATACCTGGAAATCATTTCAAAAATTAATAGAACAGCTCTACAAACACTTCAATACTGTCATATTCTACAAAATTTTGCTTTTTTGAAGTGATATATGGTTTGCGTACTTCAACCCTTACACAACAACTACCTACAAAAGGAGCATGCTGCTCAACCCTCACAGATGGTGTTCATTCAAATATGACCACATCAGATACAGTAAGATTACTGTAAATTGGTGGAAAAATGATTTCTGGCATTTTAATGCAATCCTAAAACTACATACCTGATTGTGTTCCAACAGCAGTTTCTGCTAACCTGATCTTTCACATTTAATACTGGCAAGCTCTCCTTATGCTGAGTGGTCTCCTCACTACCAGCATTACTTTTTTTCCATGAGTGAAACCAGTTCAGAAAGGATTAAGAGCCAAGAAAGACATTATGAATATTTTATCATTTTGTTTGTTTCTTGTTAAGCACAAATCTACACAACAGGTTATCTACAAAATTTTGATCTTTAGAATTGTAAATCTGCAGACTTACCACTGAGCCACTAGGGGGCTTTATTATTTTGCAAAGTGATGAGAAATAATTTAGATCAGTGAATTTTGGTTATAAAAAAATTCTGTTGAATTACATGATAATAAGAAATGTTTTTTAATAAAAACCACAGACAGAGCACAATGCTTAAAGATGATACTCACCGCAGTTTGTCGTAAATAGACAGGAACAAACTTGTTTTTTCTCCAGAATCTAAAAGGAATTGAAATAGAAATTGATATGTATATTTTAAAATATAAATATTCTTAGTAATGTATATATCTTAACTAATGGTTTATTTCATCCATCAAAAGCTTAGACTAGTGTGTTTATTGCAGTATAACTTTACAAAATTTACAATTACTATGGAACCCAAAAATATACACAACACAGTCAGCCTAGTTTATTTTGTCAAATATCTAAACTGATTTATGTAGTTTCAAAATATGTGTATATATAAAATATAGTGAATTACTGAAAAACTTAGAGCACACAGAAACTGTCCATATCTTCTGAAAAGTATATTCCCATATAAATGTTTAAAAAACACAGGTAATGATATTACTTCTTTTTACCTCAATAGTTCAGCAGTCAAACCAAAAGAGACACCAATATAATCCAATCTTTCAGGAGGACGTTCACCAAGTTTCAATAAAAGTGGTGGGAGTGACTTCTTTGGTAAAACATTTTCCTCAAGTAAAGATACAGATTCCTCATTTATAGTAGTAATTTGATTTATTTCACTGTCATTTTTCAAAGCAGCATTCTCACTGCTGAGAATCACGTTATGACCTTCATAATAATCCTGCAAGAGCTGAAGGGCACGACTTCCGTAACCCATCTGAAATTTAAAGGGTTATGATGGTTAGATACAGCAACCTTTAAAAAGTTTCAAATTCTAAAATATTTTTCTATATCATAATGAACCACATAACATGAGCCTGAAGAAGTCAAGATTACACCACATGAGCAGTAATTTTGAATAGCATAAACCTTCTCTCCAAAGCATTGATAAAATATATTTATAATTGTTTTATAGGAGTGCATTTTTGCTTCCAGAATTCTCTAGTTATTGTGTACATATTATTTTATTTCCTACTTATTTTTTAACTAACAACAAAATAAAATTTATTTACATCAAGATATATTTATTCCTCTCAATAGCGTTAATGCTGCGATTCAATCCGTGCAGCTTAATATTAATATATGTTCCAAAAACAATTGAAGTGATGCCACAACATACAAATCGGTTACCTTATAGTGAAAGAACACAAAAAATATACCTTTCTATATCATGATGTTAAACAACTGGTTCCATTTGTTATTTGATACACAATGCTGAGAATTTCATATATCAGTGTTTTTAGAAGTAAAACATTAATAATGTTTTCATTAAAGAAATGAAGTATATTTTTTTGCAAAAAATGCCCAGCCATTTTTGACCTGGCCAGATGAAGGTAGTACCTTTATATTACAAAAACATAATGAAATATAGATTTAAAAAAAGAGCACATACATTTTTTAATGGGAACGAATATCTGGATAAAATGTAAATATCAGAAAATAATATTTATCAGTTTAACTACCCAGACTAAAATTTAAAAACTCCCAAGCCATTTGAGGTCTAGTACTAGTTTCAAACAAACTCCTGGATCTTAAAACAATATACACTCTGTGGAAATCTAGAAGAAGATTTACATTATTAATTCTTGTAAACATTTATTCTGGATTTTCTACACCTTTTCAACTCTTGAAATATTTTTTGTAAGATTCCATAAGAACTTGTTCTGTGTCGTTTATTGACATTTTATCCTATGTATCGGATAATAAACTACCAGCTAATTTATCTTCTATCAGCTTTACAAAGTAACTTAATATAGTGATACCAGCCCTGACTGATATAAATAGGAATACAGCCAAAAAAATCAGAATCACAAAAGGAAAATAGAAATGAATACATTTCTGCAGTTGCTTTCTTACCATGAACTGCTGAGAAAAACATTCTAAATACATGACTTTCAATTAGTGGGTGATTTAATGCACAGATATTCAGCAGTATATTCAGACTTAAATTCCTTGAACACTCATGCTTGGCAAGAGTTCTATATCAAGACACCACTTGTAATTCTTGTAGTTATTTTTTTGTTATTTTCATTTTTAGTTTCCTTTATGGGTATCATTAAAATAACAAACTTATCTGTGATTTATTTTCAACTTCCTTTGTTGTGATAGTGGCATTCCAATATTGGATTTGCTTTTTGGATACACATTACTGGCTAGATAGCTTTCCCAATTTTTGAATGGTCTAGCTATAAATATGATTTCTGATTGGTTGATATTTTATTCAGTGTTACAATAACAGTTAAATCTGGTTTGAATTCATCAGCAGTTTTTAAAACTGTTACAATTGTTTCATTTCATCCCCATAAAAAAAATCTACCAGATAATGTTATAACATTTTTTTAAAAACCCTAAAACATATATATTGGAATTTAAAAGGTATGATCGTAATGGCATAATGTGGGGTTAAAAATTCACAATTATTACATCAAGAGAGGAATGTTTGACATCTCTACTAACAATATTTTAACGCTGCAGCTTTGGCAGTGGATTAGTATACTCAAATGTTATCATTATCTGTCCTAGAAGAGCATATTTCTACATCACACATACATGTATAAAGCCTGATTATGTTAAAGAAAAACAAGTTTTACTTCTCATGTAAAGTTGACTACGTTTGTGTAACATATTTTTCAATGGTTACTACAACATTTCACTATAATTTTCATACATTTATATTAGGCTTAATATATAATTAACTTTGAATCATCAAACATACTGCTCTTGATATGACAAAAATGATAAAAAAACTATGAAGAAATACAGCACTAAAAATTGGCTAAGTACACTTTTTGTTTTTAGTTTTCTTAAATATTTATCTATCTACATGTATCAACTTTTTTTATATCATTTTAAGTCATGTTTTTGCTTTTGTTTATGCTATTCCTATTACATCCTTCTGACTTAACTATCTTTACAGGCTAGTACCTTCATAACATTGCATCAAGGCGAGTGGTTTTTGATTGCTTACAGGGCATTATCCAGCAATTTAACTGTTAAGTAAATATAAATGTTTATGTTAAATAAGATGACAATATTCAAGTATTCTGATAACAGCTATCAGAACCTCAGTTGATTCTGACAGGAAATGTAGAATGATAAGAATTAAATGTCTTCAGCTTCTAGTTATAAAAGTGCTACTGTATAGAGCTATTTTCTATCATTACAACTGATGAAATCTGTTTAAATATTATTGAAAGAATTTAAATTAGGTCCATCATCAGCTTACATTTATCTCTAAACATGACTGAAGTCTGCAACTCTGTATATTTAAAGTGGTTAAAAACGATTGTTTTAATAAATTTGATGTTTAAAAATTCTATTCACTAACAACTGCCACATGATTTCAAACTCATATTTGCATATTAATATTATGATTAATATTTACACTTTCTTACTAATGAACAGGTTTATAATGACCCTCATGCTATCATTCATCTAAAGAAAACTTACAGCTTTTAAACTAGATTCTACACTAGTTTTAAAATGAAAGCAAATTCTACCTGTTGGTAGTCTGGATGTGTGGCTATCCTGACGATTCGGACACCTGATAAACTTGGAAATTCACTGTCTTGAAACTAAGTGACAATTAAAACAAACTACCATGAATTCAAAAAAGAAATTTCAATCTTCAGAGAATTATAGCTCTTCAAAGTATACATGTAGAATGCTCAGATAATCTAGTGCTAAAACAGTTTGATAATTAATTCTGTCACACTTACTATATCATAAGTTATTTTTATACACAACGTCTAGAACACTGTTACGAGGCAGGAAATGCATACAGAGTATTTACAGTTTAAAAACAATTACAGGGTTTTGTAATGCTGAATTTGCAGCATAACTGATGTTTCATACTTCTAACACTACTGAATATTTTCATTTTTGAGATTGCCTACCTGTTGTGACACAGTCCATGGTATAAGGTCTCCTGAGGCTCGCATACCTCTAGATAAACTGTTTATGATTGTTGATTTAGAAATCTCTCCTTCCAAACACACCTTAACAAAAAAGTAACTAAATATATTCTATGTCAGCTCAGATTCTTAGAAATATTTCATGAAATACAACATTTCTTAAAACACAACCAAACTTTTCATCGTACAAAATACAAAAAAAAAATAATTTCACTTCTATTAATTCATCTTAATCTTCAGAGAAGTATATTTATTATAGCTCCAATGTTTTACTTATTCATATGGAAGTACTATAATTAAAGCCAAAAATCTGCTACTAATGTTTTCATTATTTTGTTGAGAGTTAGAAGATTCTGACACTCTATAACCTCACCATTTCAGTGTAAAGAAAGAATTTTTGTCAATTCAAATTTTGTTTGTACTTTGTTTCAAATATTTAATGATTTAATGTTGCTAATGACTATTTTTATAACTATTAATTTTGTTAATTGACATTAGTTACTTCATTGTTAAATATTTTTATTAATTAATATTAGTTTCCAATCATAGTAAGCTACTAAAGGTTTAATGTACCAGTTTTCTCTGTGTAATATGATTATTCAAAGGACTTCACAATTCAGTGAGAGGGTACTGTTTTAGGCTATGTTTTTAATTTAGATGTTTCTAAAAGTTTGTATCACTGACTGGTCAAAGGGAGGCTTGATGTAATACAATAGTTGTGACTTAACAGGTAAAAGCTCCTCCAAAGTTTTAGAACAGTTAAAGCAATATAAAATGCAAGTTAAGCTAGACTTAGATTAAGACTAAAGTAGCAAGTTTGAGATGTCAATCAATTGGTTACTTCAGCTTTGTAATATTAAGTCTACGATATTAATGACGCAATAAAAGATATATCATGTTGTATAGATCATGAGAAATTAGTAAGTGTAATTGTTGTATTAGTATCTCCTGTGAATATATGCCCATTAGTGAACATTAGTTAAGCTAATATGAACTTGCTGTTGAAGAAATAAAATGCTTTTATCATTAAATGGAGCAGACTTTGCATTTTTCCTTTTTACAAAAGAATCCTAAAGACCCTTCTCAAGAATAAAAACTGTTACAACACTACATTGGAAGTGCTAGGAGTGTTTAAAATGTCATTAGGTTTGTATGCAAGTAACTTGAATATCTTTATTCAATAACTGTTAGAATTAGTTTCCTTAAAAGAAAATTTTGTATTTTTTGGGGAGTTTAATAGGGCTATAATAATAATAATTATTTTGACACCCAATTTATTTTAGTTGAAATTTAGAATCTTAAAAGATTATATCAAGACACCTGGAACAACAATAAAACAAAAGAGCATATATTTAAAATAAAGATCAGTTTCATAATTTCCTTCTGTTTACCTGCAGAACACACAAAACGTCTGGTAATGATCGTGTGTTTGGATCTACCGGTGGTAGAAGGCAGAATAGATGATGTGCTGGGGCATCTGACAACATCTGAAGGTCATTTGGTGAATTTTTGTAATGAGAAGCAACATAAAGCGCCATGATTCGCTGAAGGAAAGCTTCTGATGCTTTATGGTAACTAAACAATGTGTCTCGATTGATATAATATGTGATAATCATTAAGGAAACTGTGAAAAATAGACTGAAAATCAACTATCACATTTATATATTTTTAAGGATTTAGTCTATAAGTTTTGTTTCAATCATCATTTTTTCAACAATCATAGCCTAGTATAAAGGGAACATACTTAACACATGTCTGCTTTAAACCAACAAACCTGCAACTAGCCTTTCCTTTATTTTGTTTAATATATGTCCAAGATTTCAGGCTAAGAAACATTACTGTTTGTGTCCAAGCTTAGTCATACAGTATTTACAAAACACATCAGGATTTAACGTTTAAATAGTACTAGCTTCTGTAAAGATTTTAAAATAATTTTTAGACTATAGCCAACATTTTATTAAACTCACATTGTATTCTCTTCAATGTGAGATTTTTCATAATTACAATAAAAAATTAATCTGTTGAATATTATTTATGCTTATCCAATGTATTTTTCTGTGTAATAAAAACAAATATATTAGTAATTTCTCCCTTTCAATTCATAAATCAGAAACCATGTTACACTAAAAGTGCTATGCAAACTTAGAAATGTGATCAAGTTTGTAGCAATTTTCCACATGTGAAACAAACCTGAGTATTCAATATCTACCAAAACTAAAGCTAGTGTGAAAAACCTTCATCATCAATACTAAATACACTTGTTTATATCCACGTTTACATATTACAACATGCTCTTTAAGGCAGAAGCCACATGGCAAATATATTTTCTACCCATTTCAGTTGTTAAACAAGTTTGAATGAAATCTGATGGTTTTATGTTTCAAAACAAGTACATTTTTTATGTTTCAAAACAAGTACACTGACAGCTAGTGTGGATTCTAACTTGGCATTTGATCTATATAACCTGGATTCTAACTTAACAGCTAATCTACTTATATTGGATTCTAACTTAACAGCTAATCTGAAATTAGAATCCAATACAAGTATATTAGCTGTTAAGTTAGAATCCAATATAAGTAGATCATCTGTCAAATTAGAATCCAATACAAGTAGATTAGCTGTTAAGTTAGAATCCAATACAAGCTGTCAAGCTATAATCTAAGGTAAGTAGATCACCTGTCAAATTAGAATCTAGGATAAGTAGGTCACCTGTCAAGCTATAATCTAAGGTAAGTAGATCACCTGTCAAATTAGAATCTAGGATAAGTAGATCATCTGTCAAGCTATAATCTAAGGTAAGTAGATCACCTGTCAAATTAGAATCTAGGATAAGTAGATCACCTGTAAAGCTAGAATCCAAAGTAAGTAGATTAGCTATCAAGTTTGAATCCAGGATAAGTAGATCAGCAGTCAAGTTAGAATACAATGTAAGTAGATTAGCTGTCAAGTTTGAATCCAGGATAAGTATATCAGCTCTCAAGTTACAACCCCAGGTATGTAGATTAGCTGTCAAGTTAAAATCCAAGGTAAGTATATCAACTGTCAAATTAGAATCCAGGCTAAGTAGATCATCTGTGATGATCTACTTACCTTAGATTATAGCTTGATAGCTAATCTATTTACCCACAATTTTAACTTGGCAGCTAATCTACTTAACTTGGATTCCAGATTGACAGCTAATCTACTTAACTTGGATTCCAGATTGACAGCTAATCTACTTAACTTGGATTCCAACTTGATAGCTAATCTACCTAACTTAAATTCTAATATGACAGTTGATCTACTTATCTTCGATTTTAACTTGACAGTTGATCTACTTAACTTGGATTCCAACTTGATAGCTGATTTATTTACCCTGCATTTCCAGCTTTACAGCTGATCTACTTTGCGTAGAAATAAGTTTTGTTAACTTCCTCCAAAATTTTCTGTTATGGTTAGTAGACACATAATTTTATAAATTATTGTGATTACAATCAGATTTTTAGTGGTTTTTTTTGCTTACCACTATTAAAACCAACTATAAAACTAAAGGTAACTAATTAATAATTTGAAAAACTTTTCAACCTTAAAGGATATAACTGACAAGACTGAGGAACAGGACAGCCAGAGTTCAAATACTTGACAACTGTTGCATCTAAACAAAGCAATTCATTTAGCCATTGTTCTACACCATCCCCATTTTTGTATCTGATTGACTCGTTCAGTGTTATTTCATGGAGTATACGACCTAGAAGAAATTTTAACAATCAGAATAAAGATTTTCATGAATTAATAAATGTCAAGCCAAAGTTATTAAACATTCTGTACATTTCAATTCTATACATAACTGAGGCTAAGTAAGCAGCTTTATACAGCAGAATAAAATGTTCTACAGTAAAGTTAACTTACAAAAAACACACTTTTTCAACAAAATATAAAAATAGAAACAAATGATATGTAATCCACAAATACTGCATGGTTGTTTAATGAAGTTAAGTTAAATTTTCCCATTAAATTCATAGTTGCTTTTTAAATTATTCATTCTCAGAATATTATGAACTTGTTATAATATAGATTTAAAAAGGATATATGGTAAGTTTAAAATGTTAGGAATGACTCATTTTAAATACTGAAAACACCAAGTAGGAAAGTTTGAAGTTTTGTAACCATAAATTCTAGAACTAGTAATTATAGAACAAGTAGTTACACCTGACAACATGGAATCTTGTGAGACTGAAAAAATGAAACATTTTTAGTGATGACATTTTCACATATAAAATTATTCAACTAATACATCATATTAATGAGTATAACAAGACTGGAAAAATTTGAACTGAAGAAATGAAAAAATGTGTACTAATATATTTCCCCTGGTATATCAATTATGCCACATCACAGTGTTTCACCAAACATGAAACAAATTAAAACTGCTATATCTACTTACAAAAAAACTAAGTACATGGTTTATCTCTTTCAGCACAGGCTCGGTCCCTAGGACCAACTTTTTGTGCTTGTCATAGTTTCCATGCTATAACTTTCAAATTAATAAGCATATGTTAACTAGAGGGACATTCTGAGCTTTTGATTGGCTATTCACATGTCATATATATTGAAGTAAGTGTATATAAGGGACCGTTTCCAAAAGTGAAAAGTGGTGAGCATATCAGTGACATATCAGCAAACAGAAAAGATATGAGGTTCTTATTTTATATTCTAGCTTGCCAATATCAGAAATTTGAGTTTCTAATTCACATGAAACTACAGACTTAGTATTTTGATATCACAAACATTCAATATGAATCAGTGCTGCATTCAACATATCATGTGACACACAAAAATCAATGTTTAACTGTTCTTAATTTACTTTTAAATTAAGAAATTGGATAATGTACATTACTAAAATTTGAATTATAATTTACAGTTTGATACCAAACTTATTGATATAAATTCATAAAATAGTAGTTCAATAAAATTTTGAATGAGTCAACAAACGCGATGATATGGCCTTTGACCCGTGACTCGTCTGGGAAGGGTTAATATAAAAACATATAAACTAGTATAATACGCTTTGTTTAATGTAGTTTTTATCATGTTCTGAAGAAACCAGATCTTACTTGTATAACTAAGTAAACATGTTAAACTTTGCAAATGTGTACAATACTGTAGCTGAACAATTAAAACAACACAAAATTTTTATATCTGAAGACAAGCCATTGAGAAATACTATCAAGAAAATGATGAAATGACAAACAAAAATTTGGCATTTGTCTTTATTTTCAAAAATGTAAGTTTATATTAGAAGGTTTTGAACTGTTTTAGCTACAGCTGAATAAATATATTTAAAATGTTGTATGTCAACTACAGCAATCATTCAGCCATCAAAAAATACAACTCCAAATGATAACAGCAGCATTTGATATATGTTTTGTGTCAAGATACAGGTGAACAACTTATAGCAATTTATTTTCAATAATCACAAAACTATTGTACTTCTTTGTACTTATAAATATTAGCATAAATCAAGAAAATAGGTAATAAACCAAACAAAAATATAACAACTTTAACTCTTAAGTTTGCTAAAAGCAGTATCTTAAGCCATCACAATTAAACTTAAGACTCACTATGCCCATATTTTTCATTATAAATGCACACATACAGAATAAATAACTGTAACACAAATAAAATACTATCTATTTCCTAAAGAATGAAACATGCTTAAAAATACTCATATGGTCATCATAAGTAATGAACAAATACAAAATAAAAACTCATGACTCAAGCCCTAGCAATAGTGGTATCTCAAACATCCTGTAGCGTGTGTCTGAGCATTCGTCTGTCTCCTGTTTGAAAAGCTGCGCACACAGGCAAAGCTCAACATTCACTTTTGAAATGATGGGAGAACAGGCATGAATAATGTTGATGCCAAATTTTATCTCGCAAGCAGGATATTCTACAATAAATTGTTAGGAATTAATCACATTATTATTCACATTTCAAAATGTGACATAACTTAAAGAATAAAAATGTAGATTTACTGTATGTTATTGCTGAGCCTCAGCATGACTGAAATGCTCAACAATTACTTTTCATTATGGGTGGTATAATTAGTTGAGCTTTGGCTCTGAGTGAAACCAAGAATACAACACAAGTAACCTTTTTAAAGTCCATGAAATAATTTAAATTGGTAAATTAACTTAAACGTTTTGCATCACTACGAACGAATACTTTTGGTTGTTGTATATATACTAATGGAAGTCAAACAAACAAGCAATAATCTTTGCAGCAATATGCTATTTGATCTTATCAGATAAACTATGTTTATTGTTCAAACAAATGGATACACACACAAAAACAACAGCAAACTATGTTTACGAAACTTCTATGCCCATATTAATGTTATACTGTATACTTTTTTTATTGATTCAAATTTGATGGTGTGCAAGACTGTCCACAAGACTGCAGATTTTCTGTATACAAGAGATTTTTTTACCTTGACTTTTGACCCATGACCTTCAAAAGTTAATCAGTTCTAGAACTTTGTATGTACTCCTTGTTGTTTAAGTTTGGTTAAAATCCACCTATCCAATGTTGAGATATCCTATCCACAAGATCAAGATGGATGGACAGAGACAGACCGATATGCCTTGCTCGGAAACGCTTCACAGTGGATATATAAAGCATGTCATTTCATGTTTTATGTATAATATTTATATTAAAATTTTTTTCGAACATTTTAAGATTGTTGTTTTTATTTTCGTATTACTATTTACTTTTAAACTAAAAGTTAAAAGAACACTATCTACAACCAAAAAGATGGTAAAGAGTACAATTTATAAAAGCTACAGATTTTTCTCTCTCTGAGATCTGTGTTTGCACTAACACTGCCAATTGGAAAGCTTCAAATGATGTTTTGTTTGCTTAAAATTTTTATAAAGCTAACAAAAGGCTACCTATACTTTAACACTAAACTAATATACTAGAGGATGACAGATAGTCAACAGCACCCACCACCAACTCTTGGGCTACTCCTGCCTAACCAAACAGTGTGATTTGACTGTCACTCTTATCATGTTCTCATGGTCACAAAATGCAAAACACATTTTTGAGGCAAAAAGCCATGAACCATAAACCCTTCAATTCACGATCCAGGCACACTAAACACTAGGTCATGTCTGGTCTTGTTACAAATGAGGTAATAATTTTGTTTTCTAAGATTAATTGTACAAATTAAATGGATTCTTAAATTATAATGCATATTAGTAGTGTAAAATAACAACAAAGATCACTTAAAGGCAACAGAAAATATGAAGTGGTCTGCTGAAGTTGGTCATTAATATATATGAAAAGTTAGTTTCTTCCACAAATCAGTTACCAAAACACAACTCAAATTTTATGAAGTTGTTTACAAGAAAAGATCATAGAGAATGACTATTTTAAAAGAAACTCTGTCATAAGCCTTACTATATGTATAGATACTGGAGGTATCCCACTTACTACAAAACCTTAAAAATTCAGAAAACAGCTGAAATGGGATAGAAAAAATACCAAATAAAAATGTTTCACCACTGCTAACATGGCATCATCACATTAACAGTAGTGAAACATTATTTTTATTTAATATTTTTTCATCTAAAATAAACTTTACTAAGAAAAAAAAGAGAATTCTTATAACTAGAAATCTTGTCTCATAAAAATTTCTCTAGTATATAACAAAATACATGATACTCTTATGTCAAAATTACAATTGCTAAATGTTTATATCACAATAAAAAACATACCAGTAGAAACACTAGTAGTGTTTGTGGCATTAGTTGTGCTAGTTCCTTTACCACTCTGGATAACAGACTGACTACGTAGTTGCTGCATTAGTTTCAGAGATAAGGATCTTCCTGTTCCTTCATAGCTGAAATTTCAGTTTACATTAAAACTGCTGTATTCAATACCCATTGTGTTTGTAATTTCTAATATGAAACGTAACATAAACTGGTATTTAGATGCAATTCTTAAAAAAATAAAGAAGTTTCAATTAAAGAAAGGAAAAAAAATTCTATTTACTTTTTGTTCACAACATTGTGGGAAAAGAGCTTCATGTATTGTTGTAATATGACTAAAAATTAAAAACTTGCAAAAGTTCCAAAATTATAAATAAAACTGTAAAATACAGGATGAATGACCATATGACAGTAAAACACATATATACTTATGAAGAATTTGGCTATAAATACTAAGGGGAAGCTGAAAATAATGAAAAAGACAAATGATACAGGTACTAATTAGAATGATAAATATAATAGCTAAACAAACTATTAATGATAGTTAAGACATTAAACAATAATAAAAGAATTATTTTAGGAAAGTGCAAAAGAAAATTAATTATTTGGAAAGTTAAACAAAAATATTTTTCTTGAAAACTTTCTAACAAATAGTTCTCAATTACAGCAAGTAAAACAAGCAAATAGAAAACTATTTTAAATGAGAAATAAGAAAGAAGGGATAAAAGAAGGTAATGATCATTATAAAAAAAGCAGTACCTTTATTGATACCATAAGTGTAGATGGAGTGTTGCTATTTTCAGCTGTATTTTACTTACTGTTAAACATTACTCTTTTGAAATCGCAATTTTGCAGTATGGAAGTATATTTCAAAATTAATTCAGTGTAAATAGAAACTACAGTTGAAAATATAAATAACTTTCAAATGACTCAACTGATTAAAATAATTATTAGAAATGCACTAATTCAAGCTTTTTTTTATAACACTGCATACTCCTAGATAGATAGATATGTTAAATTACTGGTTATTTTTTAGTTCTGATCTATGTAGGTAGCTTACTTTGATGAGAAGTTATTGGTAATACATGAAACTCCAAAGTAGAAGTTGAAACACCTGTAAAATATGTGCTAGATTTTGTAACTACCTATTCAATTATAAGTGAATTTCATGATAAAGGGGAACTGTACACTATTGTTTTTGTTTTCTTTCTCAATAATTTAATAAGACAATACAACAAAGAGATATATATATAATACCAAATGATATATTATAAGACTGGACTTCTTTCTCCGAACTACAGTGCAAACCTTGTATCAGTGGATGATAACAGATATTTTTCTAGCTCCCAAAATGAGACCAAGGAAATAAATTTCAAAACTCGTAGCTTCAGAAATAGCCATGTCTATAACAAAGAAAAACAATATATGTACTCCACTCTTTAAAGAAATAGTTATCAAACCAACTAACAGAGAGGGAGTTGTGATCATATGGCAGAAAGATCTCTAATTTCAAGAAGGCTTACAGTCTTATGCCAACAACTTAACAGTACATAACCAGAAGCTTTCACCTCAACATATCAGGATACCATCTTGGATACTTGTGCAGAGAAAATATTGATTTGAATTTCTAAAACTTCTCTTTGGGAACCTAAAGAAGAAATATTAGACCCAATATCATATGCTGACAAAGCACAGTATCCCCAAATATCAATTGAAGAAACTGTAAATTTTCATATCCTAAAAGAAAAAAACACTACATCAAATGTTTACCAAACCAACAATTTCATTTAACAGCACTGAAAACGGTACCATCAATAATTGCACCTTGAGCATTATGACAGACACCACCCCAAAACATGAAATAATCTTGAGTCAGGAATGTCTGCAAAACATCAAAAACAAGTTCTTTTGCACATGAATATACATCATGGAAGATATTATTGGATATATATACATTTGTGAACATATCATGAGATATAATCAATGACATCCCAATCAGCTTTTATATATATTATAGCAAAAAAGGGGCAAACAGCTTTCAAATAAGATATGGCAGAAAGATATAATAAATGTAATCTAATCACTATGTCCCTACTGATTTTGCCAGTAGCAACAAGCAAATGTTGATAAACCAAAAACTATGCTAACTTTAAACACACTGAATATCTAGGCACAGCTCACCAAATCTAGTTCATCATAAAAGACCAATTCTTCTCCAGAACATTGCCACAATCATGTGAAACTAACTAGAAGACTTAGGTATGTACATAAAAACATGAACAAAACAGATAAGTTTCATATACTTATACATTTACAAAAATAAAATGCACTGTTGAAACTGCATAGGGAGTTTTAAAAAACTGTTGGGAAGGATAAAACACTACTGAGGCTGCAAAGGGAGTTTATAGAACTGTTGGGAAGAATTAAACATACTTCTGAGACTGCACAAAGAGTTTCAGAATGCATTAAATATCGATATACAAGCTGAAACGCTGCACATGTATTTGAGGCATTCTTTTTGTTCTTGTTGTTAATATTGATGTTTTTATCCAAGCTTTGTACAATTTCCCACATTGTTCTTTTTTTATCAAATGTTCTTAAATATCCTTATTGATTGAGAAACAATGTTCAAATAAAATGTGAACAGAAACAATGTCTTTTCTTTGTTATATTTATCACCAATTCTAAAATTGCTCTAAATCATATCAACCAAGATTTTTTAACTCTTTTCACTATCATAGGCATATATATGTTCTCCTTTAGATCACTGCCATGGACACATAAACATTCTCCTCTAGAACACTGCCATAAACAAAGACATATATATGCATTTTCTTCTAAAGCACTGCCATAAGCACACACGTTCTTCTCTACTGCACGATGTGGAAACATTTTCATGGTGCCCCCCTTTCTAAACATTTTCCATGTTATTTGTTTTAATTGTTGTTACTATACTACTTAAATTTCTCGCTATGCTCAGCCGAGTTCATGACCCCAAAAGTACCTTTAGTTTCCATACTATATCTTTTAACACATTATTTGTAACTTCACCAAATTTTGCAAGCTTTCACCAAACATTACAAGTTCTTTTGTAGACAGAACAATCAGAATTTTTAATAAAGTATTATTTCTAAAGTTTTCTCTGTGAATATAGGGAATCAATGTGTTGACTGCTCAAAGTGTAAAGTGATTTTCATGTTAAGATTAAAAATACTTTTCTTCACCTAAAAATTCTCAGATTTCATTTGCATAATCTCTAAAACCTTATAAATGAATATCAAATGTTTTTTTCCTAGTAAAACATTATATTTCATCTGTTATTTCTCAACCCTAACTCTATATGCATTCAATCAACTTGACCAGCCTCATAACCACCATAAAAAATATGATATAAATCTAAATTACCCTTTTTCTTTCTAGAATGACTGCACACCGTAACAGTAAATTACAGTTGTTTATTCTAAATACCTTAAAGCTTGTAACACTATCCATCTGTTTAAATTTGGTTGTTTTATTGCCCTCTGAACTGTGTCTAACTAATAATTCCACTACATAAGTTGTAAATCACTTGGTGAATGTGTAGTTTTCGTTACTCTATCAAATTACGTAAGACAAGAGCTTTATATTACATTTTCTGTACAGGGCATTTTCTATTTCCTCATTCAGTTTCAAATTTGTTTTCTTAGGAATGACATCGATGAGCTTAGCTGAAATTTTAAAGGCTCTTATCCCATAGTTAGAAAGCCAGAAAAAGTTATGATAGTTATAGAACATTGTTTGATTTTTGCTTGTTCTGAGATGCATTATTTAATTAGATAAAAAATTATTTAGTGTAGTTTTTCCATTAGTATAAAAAGTAGGCTTAAATTTCATCAACAGTTGACAACAAAAATAAGACCCAGATAAGTACTATATTTCTTGTTTTTCTTGTGTATTCTTTATCTATTATTATAAAAGTAACTAAAATGTAAAGGTTAGAAACTTATTAGGTTGAATAAAGAAAAAATAATATTAATAAAAAATTTTCATGAGGTATGCTAGCTAATTAATATAGATATTACTCAGGCGAAGCATAATTTTTATACCCTTCAATCTTATTTGTTTATAGAACCATAAACTAGAAAATCAGACCCACTTGCCATGCCCACCTGTCACATCCTTTCTTTCACAAATTACCAGTAGTTCTATCTGATGTTTTATCCTATATTATTTATAACCAATAGAAAGTTAAAGTTTAATCTATTAAATGACATAAGGTTTTTAAACTGTGGGTCATGCCTCCTCCCAAGGAGGCACTGAGAGTCTGGGAAGGACAAATGTGAACATACAAGTTATATCTGAAAGTCCAAATTTAAAAATAAAGAAGTTTTAAATACTACCATACAAATACTACTGCTATTAACACTTCCCATGGGCAGGTTAAAGTGTGCATGTTGTGGCTTTTTTAGAGAGTTGCATTCAAAATTTAAGTAAACTACCTGATTATTATTGTATACAAATAAACTTGGCATCAAAATGTAGTTAATAAATCAAATTTTAATATTAGATAAATTTTAATTTTATAAGAGAGTGTTTAAAAACATCTTCTATCTCCCCTAGTATAAGAATTGTGACATTTGCACTCTAAGTCTTCCCTTGTCTCTAATTTATTTACCACCCCTCCAAGAAATAGGGATTTTAACATACATTACTCATAAGCAAATAGGAATCATAAAAAAGGTAAACCAACAAGGCTGGAGATACTGTTGACATTATTTACTCAAACTATGAACCCCTATTTAGGCTCCATGCTCTTACCTAGAATAACATTTGGTGGAGTCAAAATAAGGATTTGTAGTTTGAGTAAATAATGTAATGAGTATCTCCAGCCTTGTTTCCTTACTTTTTTATGATCCCTACTTGTAGGTTTTTAAATTTCCAATTTTTTATTTATCTTGTTTGCTGACTTTTTTATGCTCAGCTATGGGCAAAGGATTACTTGATAGGGTAGCTAGCTGATACAGTTCATGATGATTTCCTGTAGCTATTGACTATTTGATCACATTAGTTTGAGATGTAAAATGTTAAGCTGCAGCTGGAGATTGTCATGGAGATTTGTTTGAGAATATAGTGAGCATTTATAGATTCTGTGTAACAGGTTTTCTATATATAATGCATAGCAATGGACAAATATATGCCTTGACTAACACACAACCCCCACTAAATATGAATAAAATGTTACCAGTAAAAAAGCACCCTTGTCAAATAAGATACATGCATCTAAAACAACACTTTAAATAAACTTTCATGCCTTTTAAAGTAATTATTCTATGAAATATATGTAATGAAATTTAATATTATGTGTATGGATTTTTTTTGTTACTCCTTCATTTCATACATAAAGATTGTCTCCCAAAAGACACCCATTGTATAGTGTACAAAGCATTGACTATCTACATGTTGCAGTCATGTAACATTCATCTATTATTGACTAGTAATTCCTGTTTCACTCTGTACTTAAGCTTTTTTAAAGGACCAGATATATGTAAGAAAGCTAACTTCAAGGGGTAATGAAAACATCATTTACACTAGAATTATTATTATTATTGTTTTTTAACTTATGTAAAATATAGAAGAAAAATCAACTTTTCAATACCCCTTTAAAGTACCTTACTCAGTATTCCACAAAAGGTTTGGGTGCAATATACCAAGTCAGTTATGTTGTAGGCTGGCAAGAGAATAATAAGAAGAAAAATTAGAAACAGGCTATTTTGAGCAATTTTCTTTTCCTTGTAAGTCTAATATGCATGGTTTTGTGTGCATTTTTATATGTGTACAGCCTTAGCAGTCAATAGTAAAGGTTTTAAAGTGTTGTTTGAACTGACTCTTTACTGTTAAAAGTACTTTTTGCTTGAATGTTCTATTAGGGTTTTCTGCAATTGTTTGCAATACTTATTATGAACCACTTTCGTAATTCATGACATATATCGGGGACACACTATATAACATTTGTTTTAAGACATCAAAAATATGAGAGTTTGGAATTTTGTACCACCATGAAGGAAAGGGCATTATCTTTCAAACTTTCCCAGGTTTACAATCAGATATGTAATGCAAGTAATTTTTTATTAGCTCTGAGACTAACAGAACAAATGGTTACATATACTAGATTTCAGTATCTTATAACTATAAATATATTAATAAAATGTAAAATGATAGTAACCACCAATATAACATGTCAATTCATACTTCTTTACTTCAGTATAAAAAATTGTAATGGGAAAACCAATGAAAAAATTAAAAGGCTAACAATTATATCAAACTATTAAGGTAACTACTGATACACATATACATATGAGCACAAAACACACATGCACATACATACATAAACTGATGTAAATGAAAGAATAATGCCATACATTTATAATTTGTGTATAGCAAACTTACCCATTTATTGTGGATGCCATGAAGACAAGGTAAGGGCCAAGAAGCTTTTTCACAAGAGGTAAAGGAATGGCAGCTGCTTCGTCAATAATAACCAACTCAGCCTGCCCCAGTTTGTTGGCATCTGATGGGTGAATGTATTGAATGGTCTGGCGGTGTTCTCGGAAGATGTTCACTCTCACTACAGCCTTGTTAAAATCTGGATTTGTGGACTGAATCAGCTCATAGTCTATATGTTCCTGAAACCAAGAAAATTGTTCTCAGACTTTTTTTCTTATGACCTTTAAATATACAATCATATTTCCTTCAGTTTCTAATCTAACTGTCATGTTTTGGCAGTGATTTCACATTTCCCTGCTACTTAGATCAAATTCTATATGTACTGTTTATATGAAACATGGTCAATTAATGGTTCCTGAAAATATTGTAATGGCATACATGCCAAAACAAACTGAACTTTCATTACCCCGATTTTTTTTAATACAAAACTGAGTACTATAATACCATAAAAATCAAACTTCTGTATTACACCAAAGAACAGTTGCCTAAGCAGTGAACAATGTACATGATATTAACAAGTCAAACCTACTTAAAGGTTTTAATAATGTTCCTTTTTAATTTTTTCTTAATTTAAAAGCTTTTACTTACAAAAAATTATGCAAAACAGATACAAATGTATTGGTTCAGTATTTTGTTACAAAACTGGAACATCAACCAAAAGGTGATGTTATTCACACTTGTAAGAGTAATTAAGTTTTAAGAAACAACTGGAACAAGAGTGTTGCAACTCAAGTAAAGGCACCAGTTTTAGGAAATGACAGAGAATGTCTAAAAGACATCACACATAAAAGAAAATTCAGGTGAGAACAAGAAAGCAACAGAAATAACTGAACTAATATAGAAAAACTTGACCCTTTTTAAAGAGAATCTGATGTGACTCAAACATGAAGCCTTTATTATTACTGTATGCTGTGAATAAGAAAACAACCTAAGAGATTGGTCTAACAGAAAATGCTTTGGAAATCATGTCAATCTTAGACAGAACTAAGTGTACAAAAACAAACCTGACCAGAAATTAGAAAAAAATTTATACCATTCATTTATTTAAAAAACTGTTTTATTGATTTACCATCCATGATCAGTCTATATGTCACAGACAAGACTAGACTGATCTGAATCTCTGCAAATATCTTTTTGGTAGTATACTTTGAGGCTAGTATTGCTTTTTGATCTTAGATTACATTTAACAGTCTTAATGGTCCTTCAGATACATTTTTACTTATTACATTATTCAGCACATTATAACATTGTTTGATCTAAGGCATACTTTCATAACCTTGCCAAGAAAAGATAGCTTGTCATAACCTCTACCCACCAGTGTTCTAGCCTCTTCCCTTAGGAATGAAGGTATCAAGTTGAGTTCTTGACACTTCTTTGACACAGGAATCAAAATCCTTTGAACCAATCACTGTTGACAAGTAATCTCTAGATTTCTTGAGGTAGTTGTAGGTTACAGAGAAACAGTTAGCCTTATGGTCAATGGCATACAGGAATTTTCAAAACTGTTTATTCAAGAAAAACTCTTGCATTTATTTTAGCTGCACTACTAACTGCAGTTTTTACTTACTAACAGAATATACTTCTAAGGGAATCATGTGGAATAAAATGCTTAAGGATCTTTTCAGTCTTGCTTCTAACAAACATATCCTTACTTAGAAGAGGAAATGAGGAATTATGAATGTTGAATTTAAGAGCTCACTAGCACACACTTCTTTCAGGTTCTCTGGCTTAATGAAACAGGCCTAGAAATTATTTAACCAATTAGTCTGCTCATCATGGAGTTGGTTACACATAGGATCACTCTGTTTGAACACAAAGATAAATAATTTTTACCAAACGTAAGAGCAAGACATACATACTCATGCTTAATATATAATAGTGAAGACATCTAACTTGTTAAGATTATTCAGTTACATCATATGCAAATAGCCAGTGGTCAGCTACTCTCTCTCTCTCATATGAAATACTCTGCTCAAAATTTTTTGTGACACTATATCAATGATTTGACATTAACAACAGTCACTACAGTGGATGCATAATGGTGAGCTACTGATTTTTTCCTTGTTACAATAACTAATATGATGAATACCTTCTGACTGCTTTTGCTAGTGAATATTCATTGAGGGAAGTTTAATTTGTAAATCACTGACAAAGGTTTCTTAGAAATAACTTCACTCAGCCATTCAGTTTGTACGACAGTTTGATTTTTTCATCACTGAGGTGTTTAGTACCTTGAGATTCTTGGGCAGGAACTTAGAAAAGTTAATGCAAGGAATGATTACAACCACAGCCTCTGTACAAACTCTTCTGTAAAGATAACCAACAAGTGGTGGTGTAGGTCAAACTTGCTACACACACAACTGCTGTCGATGTTTTCAGAGTACATGAAAATACCTCCTACTTGTTCCTTGTATCTTCTTAGCTACACAAAAGACATATGTAAGTGATTGACTAGGCCTACAAAAATATGACTATTTACATTTTTAATAGTGTTGTGTTTCTTTAAATCATTCTTGCCCGTAGCATGATATTTGATAAGTGACTTAAAATACCCACAAAATGTGTGACTCGACTTCACTTTGTACACATAAGCTTACAGACAATCTCCATTACTGACCTTATTTTCCAGCCAAGACCAATTGGATTTGTTCTTTAAACCATATGTTTTCCACACATAAGCTGGCCGAATTTACATACACATAAATGATCTGAAATTTTAAGCTGTTTCAAAAGCAAGAAAGTTCACACAGGGTATTGGGTCTAAAGATCCCCACCCTCCTTAAAAAGAGCTGTTTACTTACTGAAGGCCAACAATCTTTACAAGTAATATATTTAAGGAATATACATAACAAAATGAACTCAAGAAACAAAAACTTCATATCTTATAAAACATTACCTAATGTCAGAAACAAATGTGATTATGCTTAATCAGAACTTGCGTGTTTGGCCCAACATCTCATCTACCATCTCAAAAAATCAACCAGTTTCACCGAATTCTGTGCCACAAAACATCCTGAACTCCAGCGCTGCATCATCTCCACAGGCATCATCTTCTCATTTTCTCTTTTCTAGCATTGAATCTTGTTTGCATCTACTGACTGGAACATAATTCCCTGCTTTTCCGGACAGCTCGAGGCAACAAGTCACGTAAAAATTATTTAATCATCAAATTACCAGTTTCAAAAACATCAATACATTTCTTGTTAAAGTCCCTACCAATTGGACATGAAGTAGGGTGAAGAGAAGCAGAACTTTCTGACTGTCCCTGGTTATATTTCATATGCCCTTTGGAGCCTGAAAGATACTTAACCAAAATAACGACCATGGATCAGACGGACGGTTCTAAAACAACATTGATTAGGATTATCACCATTAACCATGAAGTCATATGACATGAAGCTTGCTATAGTTTGCACATGAGTTTGATACAGTGGCTTAAAAAGACTGACAACATATATGATCTGTGTAGTTTCATGCAGCCAATAAAACCTGCTTTAATAAGCTGTTACTTTGACTTGACAGGATATTCTTTGTGTGTTGAGTCCCCATGCACCAACTGTACTGGTCACACATGCTAGTTAGAGGCTTTTGTTTGGGGAAATATTATACACATGCTTTCTGCACAGTATAGTAAAGTGTATATATATCATTTAAGAAGTTTCAAATTATGACTGAAAATAAAAAAAATCCAAAGACACTCCATAAAAAATAAGAAAATCCAGATTTTTAGAAAAATCAGGAACTAGTAAATTCCTGCTCAAGCCTGAAAATAACTTTTTCTCTAGTGCCTAACAAAGTGTCAGGCACCAAGAACTTGGTGTCTGACACTTTGCACCCACTAGCTGACACAGACAGTGATTGTCACATGCATTTTAATATGTATGATTATACTACTGTAAACAGTCAAGGAAGACATGATAAAATTAATTTGGTCTCTTGTTTTATTTTCATAATGATTATAAAACCTGTAAATAATAACATTAAAAAGGCTTGTAAAACATAACAGTAAATTGGAGTGACCTATATGGTACAAAGTTTAAAAGCCAAAACATTCTCCTGTCTCTGAAAAGGACATTTTCAATACAGCATGTGTTTCATTGTTACTCTCTGACTGCACCTCAGCCTCAGACCCAGAACTTGAAGACTGGTCATCTGCATTAGAGCAGCTGGAGTTCACATCTTCATCAGCTCTGTCATCTTCTGTGCTATTAGTGCCAATTGAGTCTACTAACTCCTTAGCTTAATTACTGGGGTCCCATCAAAGGAACAAAGTGGAGGACCTTCTATGATTCTAAGAAAATGGGTTAGCCTTTTCTTACGTACTGAACACCTAGAATCAACTTTCATTCACTTTAATTTTGAAAACATTCTTTCTAGTTTTGCATTTGAGACTGGAACAGAAAATAGCAATTCAATTAATGTTAGAATGTTCTTCCATTTTGATTCTGCAAAGGAGGGCTGAAAAAGAAATATCCAGGTTTTCTTATAATCATGTTTACTAGCTTGCAGATAAATAGGTCATGCCAATTGTCAATAACTTCAATGCAGGTGCATTTGACACCAGCATTACACAAGATGGCTTGAAAACGTTCAAACAATTCACTTATTTCTTCATTTAATTCTCTTCTCTGTCATCCTGTGCCAAAGGAAATTCAGCTCTAGCTACCCATGATTCAGTATTCAATATGAGAGCAATTTTATCTAACAAAGAACTTCCAGAGTCATCCAAATGGAAAGACATGCAAGAACATACAGACTCAATTGTTAATTTTTTCTTTGATTCCAAAAATATCAGATTTTTTGTCAAACTGGTCAGAGTTGAATTGAACACCTTGGTATGTGTGCATTCCATTTTGCTCAATAAATACTTTGTGGCTGGAAGATCTTGAAACTTTACTCTACTGAATGTTTGAAGTTTACATTTTGCTTTTTTTAAAGCACTAATAGCAATCACAACATCAATTCCTTCTTCCCGAAAAACTTTTGATAATTCTGCAACAGGACTTATTACATCAATTAAAAGTGAGATGTGCAACAACATATGTCTGGTTTTTCACTTTTATAAATACCCAGCAATTTCATCATTACCTCTCTGAGCAGCCAGATGTTCAAAATGTATCATGTAAGTGCCAAATTTATCCAGCACTAAACCCAAGGATGCCATTTTGAATGAAATCCATCGTGTACCACATGCTCTTTTCTTTAGCATTTCGAGCAAAGAAATTGGTAATGCGAGAAGACATTGTGAATGGCAGTGTAAGGACTGGGGCAGAAATAAACAACCTCATCAAGGCCATCTAGCTCGAGTAAATGTTCATCAACTTTATCAATGTTGCTTGGGAACATTTCACTACTGACTTTCCTGTACCTGTTTAATTTTGTTTTCAAATCTAACTGGTCAAGTTCACCAGCTGAATATTTGGAAACAACATTGCAAATTGACATAATGGTCAAGGGTACCATGCTGGACAGAATGTTAAGTACTGACTCAATTGTTCTGGACAAACACCATTTTTGTGCTGGACATTGTCCATGTCCAGCCACTTATTTTCAGGCTTGCCTGCTACTTGTATTTTCCACTTGTGGCTTATTGTACACTCATATTCATAGAATAGAAGTTAATACTATTTACAGCAATGCTAAAGAAAACACAAACTATTAAAGGATTAGCTCTCACTACAAGTAGATAAAATTTTTGCATGTCGTGAATTTTTATAGTTACATTCAAATTTTAATCAAACTATTATCAATGTATATAAATAAACTTGACATCAAAATATAGTCAATATATTAAACTTTAATATTATATAAGCTACATTTCTTACTTTCGAAAGTAAATATTTAAATAAATTCACAATCTCTGTCTGTGTAACATAAAATTTACTGTTCTAAAAGTAACTACAATGTACAAATTAGAAACTTATTAGGTTAGATAATGAAAAAAAAATAAAACATTTTACATCATTCAATATCATAACTTTAACTACACATTTGCTATTTGATTTACAACTTTTATCATGAGATTATTAGTTAGACAGGTTGAAAAAGCAATAAAAATAAACTTAAACTATTATAAGCTTTATGATGTTTAGAATAAATACTTGTAGTTTTCTGTCACAATCTCCAGTCATTTAAAAAAAAAATAGTAACTTATAATTATTTTATATTTTTAATCTTAGCATGAAAATCACATTGCATTTAGACAAGTTTGAGGTAGACTTTGACTACATAAATTTGCAGACAAATCATTTGTAAAAAATAAATTAAAAACCTGATTTTTTGTATGGAAACTCTTGAAATGTTTACTAAAAGTTTGCCAAATTAGAAATTTTAGTACATATATTTTCATTGTTAGCTGGTGGTTGTAAGGTAAGTCAAAATGACTGAGCCCATACATATAGTTAAGGGCCTAAAATTATCTAGAATTTCAAAAATAAGAAAACAGAAAAGAAATATAATTTTAATAACTGTTGGTGATCCTTGAAATGTTATGTCATAAATAATAGTGTAAAATCATGTTGTACACACAGTGTTGATGGTTATAAGCTCCAAAATTGTGCTGTAACACAGTAAAGTATGGAGAAAATACATGTTTGTATTTATTTGGTATTATCTTCTGTAGAATATAAAACTGATTCTTACAGAAAATGTAATGTACAAGGAGAACTAAGTTTGTGGCAAGTTTCAACACAATTTTCCACAAAGGAATTGGCAAACTATGGGTGGAAATGGTAAGACAGTGGTAGACAAGTAGAAAAGGTGAACTACTTCATTTATTGAAGGTTCAGTAATATTAATGGCCTAGATTGGTGCCGCTTTGAATACCAATGACATTCAGAAAGGTAAAATTCCTCCATGCCAAGATGGTACAAAGGATCTGGTGCTGAACTCCAGCTTAATTGGCACAAGCAAATGAGAATAGTGACACATTCCCCTTGGACAGGATACCAATCCAATGCAGGTTAACCCCCAGCTAACAGCTGGTACCCATCATACAGCTGAGTAGACTAAAACAATTAGAATAAAATACTTTGCTTAAGGACACAACAGCATGGTGGGCAAACCTCGAATTCTCAAACCATCTGACTACAGTTTCAAAGCATGAAGCCAGTGAGCCACACTGTCCCCACATCTAGAAAAGGCTTTCCCCTAAAAGAACTATTTGCTATTTTGTGAAAGAGAGGATGTGGCAGGTGGGTGTAACAGGAGGGGTTTCATTTTCTAATTTATGGCTCTGAAATCAAACAAGATTGAAGGCTATAAAAATTACGTTTTGCCTGAACAATAAAGATATTATAACAAATAATATACACTGAATTCCAAATTTCTCAGAGGGGTGGCAAGTAGATTAAACATCACAGTTCTCATACTAGGAGAGATTGAGATTTTTTTTCTAAATATTTCCTTAGAAAATTAACTTAAAACTTAAATAATATTAAAATTTAATTTATTAACTACTACATTTTGATGGCAAGTTTATTCATATATATTGATAATAATGTAGCTTAATTCAATTTTGAATGTAACTTGTGAAAGTTTATGGCATGCACACTTTAATCTACCTGATGAGAAAGGGCTTAGCAACAATGCTAATACAGTGAAGGAAAAGTAAAGACTTGCACAAGCTTACACAAGAAGGCTGAGCAAGATAAGCTAGCCTCATAGTATTATGTGACTACACATGCCTTTTGCAATATTGCTTGCCATCTCCACTCTTACCAAGGGTTACTTTTATGAGTTAACTATTGATACTTATAAGCTCAACTGATATTTTGTCTGCTTATTCTGTTTGACAAACTGCCATATGAAATATAATGAGTGAATGCCACATTAATTACCATATGAGCTGAAAGACTGAAATTTTAATAAATACACAAATTTTTGTTTGTAAATATTTCAGAAGTAATCAACATGAAATATATATATATACATCATCTTGGACATTATGGTTTGGTAAGGGACCTATCATGTTTAAATTGTTACTGTACTTGTGCAAATTTTCATCCAAAATCTGATACAAGCTAATTTTGGCCTCACTAACACCCATTCTTTACATTCCTAGAAACTTAAATGTACTTTATTATCTCCTAAGCTAATAACTTTGAGACACTTGGATAAAATCTATAAACTCTGAAACTATTGACTTTCAAATTGGTGTGTTAGAAAGATAATGTCTTTTCTAGGACCCCTCCCCTTATGAATCCCACATTTAGCTACTTGTTAACAGTACAACATGACTACAAATAATATGCCTTGAGAAAACATTACAAAATATTGTAAGTTAAATTATTTAGTTTAAATCATGAACCAATCAAAAGAGAAAGCCACAAAATAAGAAAAGATACAACCAGAAATCATACAAGAGCTTAAAGTTCAGTTATTCATTAAGATCTTACCTGATACTCCAAAACATCAAAGCCTTTTAAAATAAACTCAAAGAGAGTCTTCAGATTCTCAGGGCTTGGTGAGGTGACAAAAATGTTGGAATAGCTAAAAGCAACTGAAGCTGCAATTGCTAGACCAAGGGCAGCTGATTTTCCTCTTCCTCTTGCAGCTGTCATTGCCACAGTGCTGTGCAAAGTTTTTTCTGATATAATATCAACAAATTTCAACACAGCTTTTGCTTGGTCAAGAGTACGGCAACAGTTGACTAGCACACCAACAGGCTGAGTGTCTTGAAGTGATTCTTTTAGATTCTGAAGTTCCTGATCTTCAGGAGACAGTGTTTCTTCCTGGTTAAATAACAAAAAATAAATTAATAATAAAAATGATGAAATAATAAAAAAATGAATGTTATAAGGAACTGAAATTGCTAAAAAAAACTACAAATACTGATTTACATATATATCAGAGTAATTTTCATATATTTTATACTTTCAAGCTCTTAATTTGATCCATTCAATTATTTTACATATTCTTACCCAAGGCTTTTTTAAGAATTAAATTAACTTTTTTGGAAGCTTAATATTCTTTGGTAACTTTTCATTACTATTATTATTACCATTGTCATCCAAATTCTTATAAAATGTTATCTTACTTGTATAAAAAAAGGCTCTGTTTGTTATTTATTATGTTTGTTATGGTAAAAAGGCCCGACCAACTTACCTTACACTACCTTACCTCATATAGCATGGTTATGATAAACAACATCTTATCACATGTTAATATATATATATATATATATATCTGTGTGTGTGTAGATAATCATTTTTATAGCTTTATATCACAAAGAAAGTATAAGAAACACAGTAACTCTTTAGTTGTGTATCTTCTTTCAAAATCTAAAAATCAAAATAAACTACCTTTGTTCTGGGAGGAACAGGGGTTATGCTCAGCACATGTGATGACAATGGTAGAATGTTTAATTGGTCATCCACAACAAGACATCTTTTATTTGATGCTAAGGACAACATGAATCGCTCATTGAATCGTCCAACAACATTCTGGTGAGCTTCAGTCCTGAAACGAGCATGGACATCCTAGAAATATGAAGAAAAAAAATCATCAATTTCTGTTTTATAAAAAGTTAAATTGTTATTTACTAGCTTTTTAATTGTACTATACTGTATGTTTATTATTTTTTTAAAGTTGCAAAAAATGGTACGAAATCTGGAGCAGAAAAGTGAACAACAACAATAAACCAAAGATGCCTTTTTTGTTTTCTTAATATCAGCTTGCCAAAACCATTCGATGTCACATTGCACATAATATGTTCTGGTAGAGGTAATCAGTAAAACCAGTTTCAAGCCTTAAGCTTTTTATTTTTCGGTTAGTCTTTGAGTAACAGCACATATTATGGTTGGCTGAATGCACATCTTCTGTCTGAAGTGACACTTGATTTTAAATTTTAAGTCAGTTAAGAACTGTTTTTATTGTAGCACATATTTCTCAGAATCTCCTTACCAAATATGAAAAAATGTTAATGACAGTCAAAATTAATTAATTTTATAGTGTCATTTAGGCTTAACGAATAGGAAAGAGCACCTAACCGATTATGGTAGCTGTACGATCCCAATATGCTGTGTAGCTTACTAAAGTAGACTGTTTTTTGCTACTTCTGGAAGTTCTGTCATTCTACACAGGATACGAAAGTTCCAGAGATTAACCAAGTATCAGTCATAAGCTGCTTGACTGTTGTTTGAATATTATTTTGGCTGGTTGGAACCCTGTCAGACTTTGTGCTTATTGGTTAAAATAATGTTTTATACAAGGAACAAGGAAAAGATGCTCTCTTACAACAAAAAAATAAGGTAAGGTATACACAATTGTAAAGTTGGATAATGTATATCAAAACATTTGGTTGATCTAAGAACTTCCAAAAGAAGCTTTGACCCAGTACTTGTCTCATGAAGAAGGGATTTTTGACTGAAAGTGATGAACAGAGAAAGATTAGACAAAAATGTAAATATAGAAGATCAATATTATAATAAAAAGGAAAAACTTTAAAGATCTCATCCAACTGGCCTGAAAAAAGTGTTGCATGAGTTAACTTTATTTGGAGGTAATCCATAACTTATATAAGCATGAATTTGAAGTTTTTACCTAAACATAAAAAAACAATAAAAATATATCTAGAAATAAAGATACAGACAGTTTTACAATATTTATCACTGGATTCTAAGCCACAAGTAAAAATAATTTATTTCAATTTTTAAATATGAGACTGAAATGTGAGAATAGCCTAGCAAAAAGATTACAACATCTTCAGAAACTTTAGAATGTATGTAGTAAAAAAAACAATGAATAGTTTTTGGTACTCGATATATATGTTTAACCATAGAAACTGTTAAATAGCATTTTACCATTATTTGATCAGTCAATTTACCTATTATTTTTTATTTTTTACCACTAAAATACCAAACCCTAATCTATAGTGAGTGTATCATATCTATAGAAAATTTATTGAATGAACTTTGAGAAATAGATTCTACCATAAAGTTCCATTAAATTTCTGAAAAAATAAATCATTAATTCTTAGATGTTCAGAATGTAAATTTTCTTACTTTGCATTATAAAACCATACTCAAACCAACCTTTTTACAATGCTCTTGGCGATCTACATAACAGGATATTGTATTATATTTAAAAAAATATTTTCACAGTGTGTTCTTTACATAAATATCTAGTTGTTGAAAGTTTTTATTTATTTATTTAAAAGTAAATTCTAATCACACCTATATACAAAAACAGAACAAGTATGACATTTACTCTCCTACAGTGTATATTTCATCCTTAAAAAGCTCTAATCTGGCTGAGAGCATGTGTTAAATTCAACTTAAGGTGTTACCTTGATCAAGAAACTTATCTATTGTTTCAAGGGTTGGTTGGTGTTTGGTGTTTACTGGTGCAAAGCAACTTGGCTATCTGTGCCAAATGAGTAAAAACATCAAGAGTAAAAGGTAAAAATAAATCAATGTAGGAAAAAAACCCAGCTAAAATGTTAAATACATCTAAAAAGGTCTATGGTGAGTGAAAGGTTAAACACAATCAAATTGGACAATGTCACCATCCAACGTCAAAGGTATACCTCTATAAAATACTTGTCCTAAATGGTGCCATCGCTCATATTCATAACGACGACACGACAGTAAAATGTGGCTAATTGTGACTTGGCTACACATTGGAGGGTCCTAACCAGCTAAAAGAAAACAATGAATTAAAAAACTGTGACAAATGCATAGCCGTGCCAAAACAACTTCCTCCTTACGTTCCTTATGGAAACTAGAAGGCCAAAGAGAAATCATAGGTTTGATCTGGAAAAGCTTGTTGTGACATTGTTCACCCCAAGTCAACTAGTGCAAAGCCTTGAATACAGGACCATAGTCCATGTATGGCACAGGCACGGCCACAATGGCACAAGAGCAGACAGACTTAAATGCAATGTCTGGGAGCTCATTCCCACGAATACCGACATGACCAGGTATCCAGAAAAACTGAACAGAAATGGAAGATAGAGAAAAAGGGACCAGTCGATAGAGAATATTGACGAGAATAGGGTGAGAACTAACGTTAAGCGATTCCAGGGCCTGTAGAAATTTGAGAGAGTCAGTGTAAATAGTACAATCAGTATACTGCTCAGCTTCTACATGATACAGGGCTAGAGAAATGGCATAGAACTCGGCGGTGAACACAGAAGCTGTAAAAGGGATTCTGTGAGCAACCACCTAGCCAAAACAGACAAAGGCAGAGCCCACACAATCATCTGATTTCAAAAATGGATACAGAAGAATGGATCGAAAGATGTTCAGCAAAGAGAAGACAGTATTTCCAATCGAGAGTATCCGCCTTCCTCGGCTGACTTAGAGAGAGGTCACAGTGGGGGATGGTGACAAGCCATGCTGGAATGGACTGATCACTGGGGCAGCAATGTCATCCAATGACATATCCAATTCAGCCAGCTGCTCCTGGATGCGAAAGCCAAAAGTAGGAATAGAAGACTGTCCCAAGTGGGATGATGTGGCAAGGATCAAAGCTTGATAGCATATTGCCTAGAAAGTTGCAAATGGTGAAGGTGAAGAGAAGGTTCATGGGCCTCAGTGTACAGACTCTGGACCAGAGAAGTATGGAAAGCCCCAATGCATAGCCGAAGCCCCTGATGGTGAATGGGGACCAGCAACTTCAAGGCAGAGGCCCTGGCCGAACCATAGACCAGAGACCCAAAGTCCAGTTTGGATCGTATGAGGGTACAATAGATCTTTGTCATAGAACAATGATCTGCTCCCTAAGAGGTGGAAGAGAGGACACAAAGGATGTTCAGTGTCTTTGTACAATTGACACATAGCTGCTTGATGTGAGATATCAAAGTGAGCTTATAGTGAAAGATAAGTCCCAGAAACTTAGCTTTGGGAACCACGGGAAGAGCAACATCACCAAGATAGAGCTCGGGATCGGGGTGCAAGCCCCATTGGTGGCAAAAGTGCATGCAAACGGTTTATGAAAAAAAAAGGTAAAACTGTTTGCCGTGGTCCACTCCAAGATTGAGAGCAGTCTGAAGCTGCCACTCAATAAACCTCACGTTCAACGACCGACACAAGATGTGAAAGCCCGTTTGCAACTGTAGGAGAGAGTTGGTGAGTAATAGCATTTGTTTTGATACTAAAAAGTGTAACACTCAAGACACAGCCCTGAGGAGCTCCAAGTTCCTGAGTGAAAGAACAAGAGAGGGTCGAACCCACAAAAACTTGGAATCGCCGGTCAAGTAAAAAGTTACTAATAAAAATAGGCAAATGGCCATGCAACCCCTATGAGTGGAGGTCCCGCAAAATGCCAAACCTCCATGTAGTGTCATAAGCCTTCTCAAGATAAAAAAACAAACTGTTCTCTCTTGAGGAAGGCTTCCCTAATTGATGTCTCAAGGCGAATTAGGTGGTCCACGGTGGAGCTCTGTCGATAGAAACCACACTGGGTTGGCGAGAGGAGGTTGTATGATTCCAGGAACCAAATGAGACATGCATAACCATCCTCTCCAAAACCTTACAGAGACAGATACTCAAAGAAATTGGACGATAGTTAGAAAGAACCATGGGATCCTTCTCGGGCTTAGAAACAGGTAGAACAAGAGCCTGGTGCCAAGCATCTGAAAAAACATTCTCCTGCCAGATCCAAGTACCAGAAGAATAGCAAGAGAGGCAGGAAAGAAATGGCACAGCATCTCATAGTGGATATCATCGAGTCCAACTGATGTACTGCCAGACCGATTAAGAGCAAGTTTAAGTTCCACCAGTGTGAAGGGGCAATTATAGTCGTAAAGACGATCGGTCCGAAAGGAAAGAGGTGATCCCTCTACCCGAGACTTGATGGCCAAGAAGGCAGGAGAGGAAACAGAAGTGCTTGAGTAATAGGAGAAAGACTCCCTGAGAGCATCAGAGATGCCTCGTATATCAGCAACTCCATGGCCATCGGAGAGCAAGATGGAAAGGGGATGGGAAGCATACTTCCCAATGACTTTCCAAATCTTCTCCCAGACAACTTTGGAACTGGTGGTAGAAGAGATGCTGAAGGTGAGGTTAATCCAAGATTCCTTCAGGGCATGACACCTGACCTGCCGAGCATGAGCTCAGGCCCACTGGTAAAGTATGTGGTTAGAAAGAGAGGGATACCATCTGAAGATATCCCAGACCTGTTTTTGAGCCTTCCATGCCTGTTGGCAGGCAGGATTCCACCATGGATGAGGATACTGTGGAAAACATGTCGAGGTTTTTGGAATAGAATGAGCAGCTGCCTCTATGATACAGTCAGTCACTGCTTCCACACAGTCATCTATAGATGGCAGACAGACAACAGCAGGATCAAGTTCTGAGAGAGCAGTGAAAGAGGGCCAGTCAGTTTTGTCCAACTTCCCCCCTGGCATCGACCACGTCCAACCTCCCTCAAAATGATGGGAAAATGATCAGTGTCTTGTGGGTCACTGTCAACCTTCCAAGAAAAATGTGAGAAAAGTGAAGGAGAACAGATAGATAGATTGAGAGCAGTAAAAGAC